ACTATAGAAAAAAGTATTATTGAAAACATTACGTTGAATATAATACTACGTGTATAGGAAAAAATTATTAGGTTCTGATCTTTTTTCAAACCTATCCTGAATTATGTCGTTCGACTCAAAGCTCAACCTCTCATCCCACATATCCCTATCCTGACTACTACCCTTTGCTCTTCCTTTCCCTTTTACCTTACTAACCACTCTTCCCACTAACCTCACAACTAACTCCCTTTTAGTCTCAATCTCCAATAAGCCTTCTGCCTGGCATAACACCTTTAGAGTTTCCACTGACATATGCTCAAGACTACTCTTTAACCCTTGCTGCGAAGTTGGCTCCACCTCCGACCACCCTTCTTGTAAGTCGCTGTCCATAATTTTATTTTACTTGTTAACCACGTGTTTTTTACTACAAAGCTAGACTTTTCGTCGAGCTAGCAGCAAAGACAAAAGTGGATGACCCAATATTTACTCCCTTACTCTAAATAACTGTTTTAAGATGACCTAATACTTACATACACGTACCTTTATTCCCATTACCTCATATTTACCAACATTATTCTACTAATCCGTCCTTTTCTCATACTTACCAAAACTGGGTAATTGATAATTTGTATCATGTGTGGGTTATGATCTCGTGACAAATAGATGCCTCGTGACTTCGTTCACGGCATCTCATTTTATAAAACAGATAGATATATACCGATACTAATAAAAATAATAAATAAAAAGGAAAAGATTGGCGGCTTCGACTCGGTAGGGTTGGGGTCCCGGAGACCTTTACAACGTCCATCAAAAAATCCGCATTTAATAGATTTGATTTAATTATACGTAATGTGGAACACCCTAAGAGACTGTGTTTTTGCGGAAAACTTAACAGATTCACTTTCGTTTAGAGGTTTTACAGTTTGTCAGGAGGTTTTGCAGTTTCGTCTGAGTTTTGCAGTTTCATCAGGGTTTCATAGTTTTGTCAGGTTTGCGGTTTTGTCAGGGTTTAGGGTTTGTCAGGGGTTTCAAGGGGTTTGTTATTTAAGGGTTAGGTTTCGTCTTTTGTCTCTTGCCATTTCATAAAAATGGTTTCGTCTAACAACTATATTACAAACCGAGATTTATATCATTCTTGGCCTCGTTTATTGCATTTTACTTAATATTTCGAATAACATTTTTTTAATAAAATTATATTTGTATACAAACAGAAGTTTTATATAACACTCGGCCACGTTTTAATATTGCATTCAAAGTAACGCTCCTAATAATTTTTTCCTATACACGTAGTATTATATTCAACGTAATGTTTTCAATAATACTTTTTTCTATAGTTCTTGGTTTTAAAAGCTTGTTTATGGCATCAGAATCCAACAATAACAATCTTGATCATAATTCATTGTCACATGAATATACAATAAAATTTTTTCGCTACGATCTTTCATTAAGGTCTTTGACGATCAGTGATTAATCTATCTGCCCTTTCATATTAAACGTAAACATATTCATAGATCTAATTAAAAAAGCAAAGAGCCAATAAAAAACAAATGTGAGAACTTTTTAACAATATTTGGTATTCGATATATAATAAAAAAGGCAGATGAAAATTTCCTTTCTCGGTATTTGAGGAAATTTTTGCTACAGATCTCAAAAGTCGATACGATCCAGTCCACATAGAAATAAATCGGTCGAAATTAAATATCTCTAATTCAAACTTTGATTTTGATTTTGAGGAACATTACCTCTATGTGAATCTTTATCACTACAACGATAAAAGATTCACTTCCAGGTTTTCACTCTACAGCACTCATATAGGGATGTTAAATTGCGAATTCAGTCCGGTCCGATCCTAGGATCTAAAAAAACAGTCCTGGACTCGATCCTTTAAATCACATGAAAATACAATACATT